GTCCTCAGTGTGGAGGGTGGGAGGGTGCTCAAGGGATGCACTGCAAGAGGGTTGTGTTCTTGCCATGGGCCCTGCAAATATTGAGGAGGGCTTGTCCCTATGTCTACACCTTTATAATAAATCCTTGAATTTACTCATTTCAAGTATGCAGCAGTTTCAAAACCCTGCACAGAGCACAGACTTAGAAATCTGAGGGGCCTAAAGCCAAGACTACAGGCCATGGACAAGTTCATGTGAGAGGTCCCAGCTTAGGCACTGGGGCAGCCAAGTCTCTGCTTAGGGGAGAAAATAAGGGCTGGTATAGAAAAGGAATTTCAGCTGGGTGCGGTGGCTCACACCTGTAATTGCAGCACTTTGGGAGGGCGAGGCAGGTGGATCACGAGGTCAGGAGATTGAGATCATCTTGGCTAGTATGGCGAAACCCCAACTCTACTAAAAATACAGAAAATTAGCCAGGTATAGTGGCATGCGCCTGTACTCCTAGCTACTTGGGAGGCTGAGGCAGGAGAATTGCTTGAACCCAGGAGGCAGAGGTTGCAGTGAGCCAAGATTGCGCCACTGCACTCCAGTCTGGGCAACAGAGCGAGACTCCGTCGGGGAAAAAAAAAAAAAAAAGGACAAAGGAAAAAAGGTAATTGCTCAAGGCAGGTCACACACCCTGCAGCAGAATCATGCTGGGTTGCCTGCATAGGGGAGGACTGAAGAGGAAGGGCAGAGAAGGACAACAGTTCAGTCCAAAAATCAGGAAGGCTGGGTGGGCCAGGCCTGGCTCCATCCCTACCCTTGAACCAGATTGCAAACACTCAAGTTATGCAAACAGGTTATCCAATGTCACAATGGAGAGGGAACAGACACAACCTTGCTTTCCATTTTACTCATCATGTTTGGCAACTAATTGATTTTGTTTCTTATTTTAACTGATTTTGATTTTAGTTTTTTAAGAACTTTATCAACATCTTCCTATTTTTTTAAGACAGGGTCACCCAGGCTGCAGTGCAGTTATGTTATCATGGCTCACTGCAGCCTCAACTTCGTAGACTCAAGCTGTCCTCCTGCCTTAGCCTCCCAAATAACAGGGACTACAGGAGTGTGCCACCATGCCCTGCTAATTTATTTTCTGTACAAAGACAGGGTCTTACTTTGCTACCTTGGCTGATCTCAAACTCCTCAGCTTAACAATTTTTCCACCTCAGCCTACCAAAGTGCTGGGATTACAGGGCATAAGCCACCATGCCCGGCCCTTCATACTTTTTAATAAACAGATCTGAGACTTCAGAACCAGTATGTAAAGGAAAAGCCCACCTTAGTTCAAAAATAATGAGGGGGATCCCAAAAGGAGTTTGTTCTGAGGCCTGTTCTCTGCTCACTGAATGCATGGATGAGGGAGCCTTTGGGGGAAAGGGTGAAATGTTTGTTCTGCTTTTCAAAGAGGGGAACATTACCTCTTACATGGGCTGCTGCTGCATAACGTACTGCAGTCTCTGCTTCCATTTCAGTTCTTCCCAGACACTGGCTCTGCTCCCCTAAAACAACACCAAAGTCAAACCAACCACCTAGAATGGTGACGCCACCTTACTGTGGTTTTCCTTCAATCAGTTTGCTATAAATGCACTGGATGTTACCCAAGGGTTTATAACCACCGTTGTCTGCTCTTCCATGAGGTTGTGCAAACATCAGCTACGGCCACAAATGACAGGCAGGAATGACATGTGTGTCAGTTGAGATTCCACATCTCCCACACAGGTATCTTGACCAACTCACAAAGACTGCAACACTAGCTTATTTGAACCCAGAGGAAAAATAGGGATAAAAGCAATCAGATTCCCAGCCTGGGCAACATGGCAAAAACTGTGTGTCTACAAAAAAATACAAAATACTAGCCAGGCATGGTGACACGAAGCAGTAGTTGCAGCTACATGGAAGACTGAGGCAGGATCATTTGAGCCTGAGAGGTTGAGGCTACAGTGAGTCGAGAGCATGCCACTGTACTCCAGTCTGAGCGACAGAGACCCTGTCTCAAAACAAAACAAAAAAAACCCAGAAACAATCAGATTCCCCAAGTGCCAGACATCAAACAGTAGAGAATGCATTTAAACGAGGCATGCCCAACATGCAGCTGGTAACATCAGCTCTCACTGGTTTAGTTGGTGATGTACAGAAAAAAAGGGCTCGCAGTGCAGGCTAATTTCATGTTTTTGAATCACGCTGTGAAGGAGGACAAACAGCGAGTCTGCTGAGTGAAGAAGGAATGAAGCCATGGAAAACACCTGGGAACACTCACATAAAAACAGTCTCCCAAGCTGGTACAAAAAGGTTGGCCGGGTGGCACTGACAAGCCCAGGAAGGGAACCTCTAGTCGTAACATAACCACCAGCTCACAGCCTGCTGCTAGGGGAGCTACTGGTGATAACAGAGCTGAGGTTATAACAGATGCACAATGAGAGGTACCCAGCAAACCCCACATAGCTGCAGTGGGAGTTTCTGTCAAGGATGTTCCCATGAGACCAGCTGTGGCCAGAGACAAGGTCCTCCAAGACCCCCTTATCTACCTGTCAGATTTCTCATGTTAAAAAGGAAATTGCAGTATGTCCCAGAGCAGTCAGGTTCTGCCAGCACTCCTCACATTAAGATGGTCACTCGAGAGGAATGCCACATTTATGGAGTGTGTGGGAGGCACTGTGGCAAGGCCCTCTGAGTCGAGTGCAGTGGGTGAGCAAGCTCCAGTCATCCCTCGTGATCTGCAGTTGCTGAAGTCCCTGATGGAAAATGGCTCAGTATTCGCATTTAACCAATGCATAGCCTCCCATCTACTTTAAATCACCTCTAGATTGTTTATAATACCTAAAGCAATGTAAACAGCTGTTATGCTCATATTGTTTCGGGAATAATGACAAGGGAAAAAGTACGTATGTTAAGTAAAGGCACAATATTTTTTTCCGAGTATTTTAAATCAGGCTGGTTGAATCAGCAATGAGGAACCTACAGATGGGAAGGGCGAACGATACAGTAACAGACAAGAGGGATATGTGGTGGCAAATGTGCACAGGGCACTGAAAGGCACCCAGGGAAGTGGGGGCATGGGGTTGCAATTCCAAAAGAGGGATCTCCCCTACGCAGAGCCACCAGTGTACTTAGGGTTTGAACAGTCCATTTGTACGGCTGTTTTGACCTGGAGTCATTTGAGAAAGCCTAAAAAAGCAAAGTTTAATCTTAACTTAGCCCATCTTTAGCTTTCAATTCACTCCTTCCTTGTGTCCGAAGACTGAGGCAGGAAGATCACTTGAGCCCGAGAGGTTCAGACTACAGTTGAGTTGAGATCATGCCACTGCACTCCAGCCTGAGCAACAGAGACCCTGACTCAAAACAAGACAAAAAACAAAAAAACAAAAACCCAAGACAGATTGCCCAAGTGCCAGACACCGCACGGTAGAGAATGCATTTAAACGAGGCACGGCCGAAGCACACACTCCAAGCATGAGGAGGAGCAGCTCTCCAACTCCTCTAGTTTCCCTGGTTCAGGTTTTTGCTTCAAATATCAAGTCAAGGCTTGAGGTGAGAGGTAGGAGAGAAAAAACTAAGCCAGGTGTATTGATCCCCTTAAGAAAAGCTGAAGGGGGAGGTTTTCCCTTTTTTTTGGTGGGGGCAGGGGTGCAGTGAGGAGAGGCTAGGATGCTGGTGCCCACACTGACACACTGTCATTTCCTTTCCTGAATTTGTGATCCTACAGCAATGTATGAAAGCAGGTGGTGCAGCACTGCTGGAGATTATTTTAAAAGCGGGCTGTTTTCACCAGCTTGGCACTAGGGGGCCCTAAAGAACAGCATCGTCTTTCACCTAAGGGGAAAGCTACACTTGCCTAGAAATGAAGCCCAGGAAGGGGGGTGGTCCTCTGATGCCACCTGCCAATCCTCTACCTTTCATGCAGACGGCACTGGGAATCAGGTCTCGCCACATAGTTCAAAACAGATCTTCGGCAATTTCTCAGGGCCACAAGTACTGCATGACAAGTAGGGCTGGGACATACTTACTGTGCCCTCTGCTCTTGGTCACTTTAACTCCTCATGCAGTCACAGCTTTGTGGCCCACATGAAAACCAGATCAGGAGTGACTGACACGAAAACCAACCAAGAGAACTGTTTAACCAGTGTCCACACTGGGCCTATGTAGAGTCATAGCCAATGTCAGCCAAGCTGCCATTCACTGGCAAGCTGTACTCTAGGTCCTTCGTGTTTATCTCCCTTAATCCTAAATTGTGAATCATAACAAACCAATCAGGAAGGCATTACTGAGACGGCCAGTTTAGAGCAAATCAAAGGGGAATATGACAAGCACTGGAAGCTTCAGCCAAGGTGACAACTAGGATTTAGAATCATTTTCCAACATGCCTCACTGGGTAAGTCACAAGGAAAAATACTCTTATATTCTTGAAGAAAAAACTATTCTCAGCCTCCTCTTGATCCCATGTCACAGACAAATCTGATGAGCCTGCAGGCTGCAGCCTACCATGTCACCAAGCACATCAGCCCAGCCCAGCCCCTCCCCTAGAACATGGACCATCCTTCTCCACAGCCTGTAGCTGACACTGGTCATAAGGCTTTTTGGTGGGTACTCAATTTCAAGCCAGCCTAGGTTTTAGATCTTCCACCCACAGCAGCTTTCTGGGGTCCCATACCTGCCAGCCCTACCAGGCACAACCCAGCTATAGACCTGAGCAGATCCTTAGTGACTCCCAAATAATTGACTACATCTAGATAAGCTGTAAGAAACTCCCAGATAATACCTTACCCAAACAGGAAATACAGTGGTTGTGAACAGACAACAAACAGAAGAACTGATGGGTTGCAAAAATTTAAACTTCAATGTTAAGATGGCCTCTTCTGCGGCAGAAAAAAAAAAAAAAAACACTTTATCTCCAACAATTAAAAAAAAATTCTTACAATTCACAAAAACTGTCTTCAATATTATATCAAAATAGAAAAATAATCTTTGCAAAACCTGGGTCCCATTTAAGATGCATACTTTTATTGAAGTTTTAAAAAAATTTGTAACCAGACAGAAAGGATAGACAAGAATGTTATGATCTAACTATATAATATTCTCTCAATCTTGTGGATCACTAAAATATAACAAAGGATTGTTTTCTATGCTAATTTTCAGGTTGTCCAGTTAAACCATTATTTGGTATCCTTTGAGCAGGTTAGCCTTTTAACTATTTAGAGTTTCTTCTCAGAAACATTCATATATTATACAGGAAACATTCATAGTTTATTTGGGAAACATTCATATTTTATACAGGATGTACAAATTTAAGACTAAACAATTAAAAAAACACACACACAATTATAGCCGCAACACTATCCTAGCTGCATTGTGGTGATTATGTTGTTCAGTTCGCTGTCCATTATATGCAACTGGATTTTAATCGTGCTATTTACAGAGGGGCCAAAGCACTCATCTCAAGGTAAAGGCGCTCAGGTTTAATGTGCACTTTCATAGCCCTATGAAAACACAACCATTATATACACTGTAAACACCACAGGGCATGAAATCCATCTGCAGCCACAAACATCAGTCTCACAGGATCAAGCATACAAGGTCCAAGGTAAGGTGCCTGACTTTTCCTTTTTAAGAATCCTTTTCATCCAAGAGTCCTACTGTTCTTTTCATAGGACACTATCCACTTATTTCAAATATGGTGCAAGTGCTCAAAACATTTCTGGAACCCCTTTTTGAGGACTACCTGCAGTGTCTGCAGTGAACTCTTCTGAATGTCCTGGATGGTGTCAAGTCTTCATCCTTTGAGGATGGGTTTGATTTAGGAAAACAGGCAGAGTTATTCACAGCCAACTGAATCAAACTGCGGGATACGACCCGGGTTCAAATGTGAGATGCCACTATGAACAACGAGACCAATTTTCTTGTATGACTCGTAAATTTAGAGTTTAAAAAATGCCTGAGCAATGGCGGTCCTGATGAAGTACAGATTCTTCTAGAGTGATGACTCAGGGACAACGCTCATTTGAACGGTTTATCTAGGTGTTTTGCAGTTTTAAAAATCGGTCCTTTTGTTGCCTCTCACATGGACTTTAGTATTCCTCTTCAGCTTCAGTCCCTTTTGCTTTCTTATGGATTGCCCGATTAAAGCTGTGGCAGGCAGGAACCCAGTGATTGTCATGAAGCCCCAGCTTACAGCCGGGGAATCCTTTCTGAGACCGGTGGCAGCACATCCAATACCCTGGTCCATAGGGCAATGCCTGGCAATAGGGCTTGGGATGCCATCGGCACAGAGACACATCCCCTTTCACATACTTTTTCTTGCACTGCTTGCAAGGATCCTCTCTATAGCGTGGATCTCGAACCCAGCGAGAATCTGCTGGCCTGATATTGTAGTACTCAATGATAAACTTGAAATAGCAGCAGGTACATTTAAGGGCCACTAAACTCTTGGTGGGAAGTAACCTGAAGATTTTTACCATAATGTGGTGGGGCAGAAAAGCCATGTACTGCTGAGGCTCCAAAAGCTGCTGGATTTTAAACCTGGTCTCCAGGAAGTCATGAGACACCTGCTTCTTACTGGATGCCTCAAGCACTGGTAATGTACTTTCCACAGAAGAGGCTGGTGATACAAATGGCTCAGCTGACCCACTTTTTTCCTCAGATGCACTGTCACCCTCAGCAGCATCTTCAAGCTGGCTGGCCTCTGAAGCCTCTTTTCTTGTGCTTTCATTCAACAGGGAACAGTCTGATGAGTGCTGACCAGGTGGCAAAAAAAACAACATCCCTGGAAGTGGGTCTTCACAGGAGTTTAAACTGGAAGGCTGGTCTTTCTCTACCTTGGACACAGTGATACTAATGCACAAAGATTCTTTTCTTCTTTGATCAGGATTTTGGCTAGTAAGTGACACAAGCTCTCTGCTCATACAATCAACAGCATCTGTGGGCAATTCAGAGGCTTGGGAATAGGTATGAGAAGAAAAAGCTAACCCAACAAGTTCACCTGTCATTTCCACAGCATACCTGTTGCCGTTTTTCATGGCAGTTTGCGAACCCAGCTCCAACTCTGCACTGTCTATGTGGAAACTCACACCTGCTGGCAATGAGGGGCAGTCCTGAGAAGCACCATCCCAGGCCTGGTCTTCTTTAGGAGAATAATGATCAGCTCTTGAGGGGCCACAATCCACAGATACAGACCCCATGGAATTCACCTGAGTGTCGGGAACCTCCAAGGCGCCTTTCTTTGTTTTGCCTTCATCAGCCTGAGTGCTATTTGCAAGCAATACTCTGCCCACATTTCGACGGAAGCTGTTATTCCTTGAGAGGCTCCCAGGCTCACGCTGGCCCTGCCGCTTCAGGCACTCAGATTCCAACTTGGCCACCATGTCGAGGACACGGACTGGTTCGCTTTGTGGTTCACCAGCCTCAGGATTTCCCCTTTCTGTGGGTTCTTCACAAGCTCCTGGGGCAGAAAAGGACTCGGAGGCTGCGAGCACACCTCTGGACTGGCCAGTAAACCTCACAATAGCAGGTGAGTTTGTGAAGTTTCTTTTACAACTAGCTAGCAAAGCACTGGCTCTTTGCTCCAAGAAGGCAACCATCTGTATAACCGACAGAGGCCTCCCGGCATAGACTCCATCACCACTGTCACTCACATAATGCACAGAACAGTGCTCAATGCCACAAGCAAAAGGCTCAGGTTGGTAGCACCTGCTGTTAACTTCCCTCATCCTTTCTACCTGGACCTTTGCTTTTTTAAGATCCCCTGATTTTTTCCTTCTCTTAGTAGCTCTCCCATCAATATCCCAGGAACTTTTTATTTTCATAGATCCTATCCTGTTATTACACTGGTGAGCTGCAAAGAATGCAATTTTTTCCTTTGTATTTCCAGGTTTCACAACAGCCCAGATATCAAGAGGTCCTTCTTCTTCACCCTGGTGGATGGTTGCAGATGGTGCATTCTTTTTCGTTTTAACATTCAAGCTGCTCTCTACAGGACTCTTCCCACTCATACTGCACAGAACATTTGGAGAAAGATTCCCAAAAGGCTTTCGAGACGATGTTTTACCAAGAGAGGCTGAAGGAAAGACACTTGGTGTTATGTGGCTAGGTTTGCATGTTTCATCGGTGACAGCCTTTTGGTGGCTCATAGGAGTTTTCTGCGTTTCCCTGCTGACTTCCAGGGGGTGCTCTTTCTTCTGGAGCTTCCAATATGGCTTTAGGTGCATAACAGAGGCCCTATAGGAAAGAAATATACATTTGATTTAGAAACCAATTTTGTTTTTGAAAAAAATGTTTTTAAGCTCAGATGGTTCTAGCAAGTAACAAAAACATTTTCTTTTTTTTTTTCTTTTTTTTTTTTCGAGACGGAGTCTCTCTCTTGTTACCCAGGCTGGAGTGCAATGGCGCGATCTCGGCTCACCGCAACCTCCGCCTCCTGGGTTCAGGCAATTCTCCTGCCTCAGCCTCCTGAGTAGCTGGGATTACAGGCACACACCACCATGCCCAGCTAATTTTTTGTATTTGTAGTAGAGATGGGGTTTCACCATGTTGACCAGGATGGTCTCGATCTCTTGACCTCGTGATCCACCCGCCTCGGCCTCCCAAAGTGCTGGGATTACAGGCTTGAGCCACCGCGCCCGGCCTAACAAAAACATTTTCTAACAGTTCACTAAATCTTTACCAACTCTCTCATGATAGTTTTTACTGCACATATCAAGAACAAAAAGCAAAATATAACCAGTTTATATGGTGTGTAGAACATAAATATATATATTTTTTCTTTACAGAAAAATAAATTGGTTTTGACTGAGGAACTTCAGAAACTGACATCAGTTAACATTTGGTAAAATTAACCTTTTAAATTAAAAAAAAAAAAAATCCGGAACTTCCTGAAAACACCTAAGTATTAGGCATAATATAGAAGAAAGTACAAAAAGAACTCTTCCACAATCCCTAGTAGGTTTTTAAACACTCTTTCTTTCTAGATCATCGCAATCAGCATTTTACTAGTTGCTAACAGTCCATCAAAATTACTGCTTCCTGGCAGGGCACGGTGGCTCACGCCTGTAATCCCAGCAATTTGGGAGGATGAGTCAGGCATATCACCTGGTCACAGGAGTTCCAGACAAGCCTGGCCAACATGGTGAAACCCCATCTCTACTGAAAATACAAAAATTAGCTGGGTGTGGTGGCATATGCCTGTAATCCCAGCTACTTGTGAGGCTGAGGCACGAGAGTTGCTTGGACCCAGGAGGCCAGAGGTTGCAGCCAAGATCGCACCACTGCACTCCAACTTGGCAACAGAGCAAGATTCTGTCTCCAAAGAAAAAGAAAGAAAGAAAAGAAATTTATTGCTTCCTAAATGATTCCCATACCATTGAATATTGAATACTTAGATGTTTACAATTTTCACTTGTTTCCTTGTGTACTCTGCCCATCTATTAGTCTTGATTTTCTTAATCATCTATGTGTAAAAATATTTAATTGTCGAATTTCCTGTAACCATCTTAAATCAGACATAGATCCTACAGTCCTTATTAATTCTAAAAACCCTTTTGAACTAGTTCAAAGAGATGGCACCTTGTTTTGGTCCTTGACCAGGGATAGGGATGGGAGCTATTTCAGAAATGAGACAAAAAGATGATTACATACAGAGACTTGTGTTCTAGTCCCTGCCATATCACTGATTATCTTGACAAGGGTGATTTTACGTTGAGCAAGTCATTTCCTCTCTCCATCTCAGCTGAAAGGTTAACTGAAGGGTTGAAATACTAGATAACCTAATGAACTTGTCAATTTACAATTTACATAAATTAGTCCACTGCTACACAAAACACCCTGAATTGCGGAGAGAGTGTTTTCTAGAGATGCCTGGTTTGCTGCAAAAAACCTAAAGACCAAAATAAAGATGTGTAGTCACAGTTTGGTGGGGGTGAGGCAATAACACCTATGGATCTAAGCACATTAAGTTTCACCTACTATTGCTCATTGGGACAGCAACTGAACACATACATCTCAGACAGCTCAGTATATCCATCCTCCTTTGCTCCACATTTACTGGGTGCCTGCCATATGGCAGCCACTATGGTAACTGATTTCAGGTATCAGTTGTTGTTGTTGTTGTTTTGAGATGGGGTTTCACTCTTATTGCCCAGGCTGGAGTGCAGTGGCACGATCTTGGCTCACTGCAACCTCTGCCTCCCGAGTTCAAGTGATTCACCTACCTCAGCCTCCCGCGTAGCTGGGATTACAGGCGTGCACCACCATGCTGGATACTTTTTCTATTTTTAGTAGAGACGGGGTTTCACCATGTTGGCCAGGCTGGTATCAAACTCCTGGCCTTGTGATCCACCCGCCTTGGCCTCCTAAACTGTTGACATTACAAGCATGAGCTACCGCACCTGTCCAGGTATCAGTCCTAATCACCAAGAATTAGTGATCGTCTGGAACCAGTTTACCTTTCACTTCAACTTTTAATTCCTACAGTCTAGTTTCAGTTAAAAGAAGAATTATGAATATGGATATCTTCTAGCCAGATAAAGAGAAATCTTGCATTTAAATCATACAAAGTCTTTTTAAAGATACTCCTGAAATAGGAGTCAGGCGTGGTGGCTCACACCTATAATCCCAATGCTTTGAGAGGCCTACGTGGGAGGACCTCTTGAGGCCAGGAGTTTAGGACCAAGTTCATTCCTGGTGATTAAAACTGATAACTGGGCCGGGTGCGGTGGCTCAAGCCTGTAATCCCAGCACTTTGGGAGGCCGAGGCGGGTGGATCACGAGGTTAAGAGATCGAGACCATCCTGGTCAACATGGTGAAACCCCGTCTCTACTAAAAATACAAAAAATTAGCTGGGCATGGTAGCACGTGCCTGTAATCCCAGCTGCTCAGGAGGCTGAGGCAGGAGAATTGCCTGAACCCAGGAGGCGGAGGTTGCGGTGAGCCGAGATCGCGCCATTGCACTCCAGCCTGGGTAACAAGAGCGAAACCCTGTCTCAAAAAAAAAAAAAAAAA